TATAGCTAAAAAATAGATTTAAAAAAACTTCATTACCACAGATGAAAGGATTTTCCACAAGCTTTGTTAGTAAAATAATATTTACATAATATAATCCCAAATACATTTTTGAGATTTCAAAATAATTCTCAAGTTACATATAATTACATTTTACAATTTTGTGAATATTCACAATATACAATTCTTGTAAGACGTCATCTTGTTTGAGTCCAAAGCAACATAAATTTTCCCCTATCTCTCAAGTCTCCTTCCACAATTTTCTATTGTACTTTAGCTTGATCAACATCAGTCCCAATTTTCCATTTATATGCTCATATTCCATAAATATGCCTATCAATAAAGGTAAAGTATTAAATTACAAAAAAGAAATGATTTAGAATTTCAAGGAGAAAAAAATATGTCTTGAATAATTCTTTTTACAAAAATTCTTAGCAAATGAAAACAAAAAAAATACAAAGTAAACAAAGAAGTAATCCAACCAATAACTTTTGAACTTCTTAAAACAAGTAGATATAGATCTCAATTTTTAGTATCAATTAATATATTAATACCTAGATATAGATCTTAAAATTCAATACCAATAATTAATTTAATACATAGGTAAAATAAATTACCTTTAAATTGATAAAAATATACAATTAAATGCAATACTCATTGATTCAAGCCATGACAACAATCTCTTGTAACAATATAGAATATAATTGTGTATGATAAATTATTTGTGGTTCAATCTTTTCTCAAACCTATACATAATATAAAATTTAGAGTATATAATTGAGTAAAAAAATTTAAAAACATTCATATTGTAAAAGCTTATCTCATCTGCTTGAAGAAGGCCATGTAAAACCTACAAAAGAAATATTAGCATAATTTCAAAAATAAAACATTGAACAGAAAATTGAGATAAGAAAGGGTGAGGGAAGAGAGAGCAGACAGAAATGGCGTGGGAAGAGGAAAAAGAGTTGTAGGTTTTTGAGTCGGAAGGGGAAATAATCTTTTTAATTGGATTTTAAAATTTTAGGGGGAAATTTTGATATTTTGTTAGTTTTAATATCCAAATGGGGAAAGGGAAGGGTGAAGTACGGCTGGAGAGATAATTTTGGGAAATTTTTTTGCTTTATTTATAGTTATTATTATCTCTTATTATTATATGCATAAGTTTTTCTTCTTTTATTTTACAAATGCAACATTTGTTATATATATATATATGAATCTATGATTTTTCGAACATGAGCTCAACAAAAAAAATGTATTAAGTGGGAATTGATCCGAACATGGGTGCACCAAAAATATGTATCAAGTGGGAATTGATCCTTATTTCTCAAGGTCAAAAGCTCAACATTTAACCATGTGGACCAATTAAACTTCTTATATTATGAGTGCTAGAATATAATATTATACAAATTTTATAAAATATATACATAAAATATCTAATGTTACGACCAGACCATAGGTTCTGATGCCCTATTTTTTACTTGAAGTTGATGAAAAATAACAACAATTAATAATAATTGAAAATAAAAAAATATACTTTACTTGAAGTGGATGGAAACGGTCAATTATTTATATGAAATAAATATTATTCTAAAATATATTGCTCCTTTATTGGTTTTGTTATCTACTCTTCTTTTCAAAATAAATTCTTAACTTATAACTTCTTATGTCTCATATAGTTGTCAAATAACAACAACAATAACATACCTAGTGAAATTTTATAAAGAGGTCAAAGAAAGATAGGGTATATTCAGATCTTATTACTATCACGTGGAGATAGAGAGAATGTTTAGAAGAGACCATCGACTCATATTAGTTGTACACATTAATAAATATAGTTGTCTCAATTTACTTGTCAAATAATGAAATGAAAGATAAAATGAATTACATTTTCTCAATTTTCCTTACAATTAATTCTTCTTAAAAGGGTAAACAAGTTTGTGAAATTTCAGATAAAAATTATTATGGGATAAAGTAGTAAAATTATCCGTCTTATTTATAAATTTTTAAGATCGTGTTAAAGAAATATAGACAACTAGTATGAAATGGAGGGAGTAGTGTTTAGTTAAATTTATGACCATACATAATTTTGAATTACTGTTTTTAGTTTGAATTAAAAATGTAAAAAATTATATGAATTCAATGTAATTTTTTCTACTTTCTTCAAATCCCAAATTGTAGTACGATACTGAGCATTATTTTATCATCATTATTATTATTATTATTATTATTATTATTACTATTATTATATCTATTATTATATTGTTAAGATTATTATTATTATTATATTGTTATTATTGTATATGAATATAAAATAATATATGCATTAGAATGTCAAGTTAAAAATATAATACATTAAAATAAAATATAACAGTCAAGTTTGAAAATTATTTTAAGATAGAGTTTTCAAAAAAAAAAAAACCAATTCAATTTTTTTATCTCAACCATGAATTCAAATTCAAGTTAAATTGTTCAACTATAACTATAGTGGAACTATACTTCCACAACATTTAGTTATTTCAATTAGAAAAACTTAATAATTAACTATAAAATTTTATCATAGCAAAAAATCTATGATTATATTTTTAATATGCCACAATTTTTATGACTTGAAAAAATATTTAGCTAGAATTTTATTTTTAAATAATTTATTGTGGCTAAAATATTATTATTACTACGACAAATTTAAATTCGTGGAAAATTTAATAATTAGCTATGAAATTTTATAATAGAAGAAAATATATGGCTATTTCATTTAATTATCGCCAAAATATTTTATAACTTAAAGAAAATTATTTCTTGAGCTACAAATATTTCTTCAAATAAGTTATTGTGGCTAAAAGGTTATTATTACTATGGTAAATTTAAATTCGTGACAAAAAATAATAATTTGCTATGAAATTTTACTATAGAAATAACTCTATGGCTATTTCATTTAACTATTGACACGTCGTTGTATAACTTGAAGAAAAATTATTTATTTAGCCACAATTATTTTTTTAAATAACTTATTATGGCTAAAGGATTACTATTGCTACAATTACTTTTATTTTGTAGCAAATAAATTATAATTAGCTATAAAATTTTATTGTAGCAGTAAAATTGTAGCTATTTAGATAGTTGTTGCAACAATTGTTAACAATTAAAATAAATATAAGGATTTACTTTGTCAACTTAATATTCATGGCAAAAATATTTAATAAATTTTTAGATAGCTAAGAAATTTGAATTTTTATGGCTGTTACTAAGTAATAACTACAATTTTTAATTCATACCCTTGATTTCGTAGCAATAAGTATCTTTTCTTATAGTGGCATGTCCCTATGTGGCATTTGCTTTCCATAAGAATGCCCTTCAGTTTGTGTAATGCACCAGCGAAATTTCAACAGAGAATGCTCTATATTTTTGCTGATATGGTAGAAGATACGATGCGGGTTTTCATGGATGACTTTTCACTTATGGGAGATATGTTTGAAGCATTCCTTGAGCACCTTGGTAGAGTCTTGCAAAGATATGTCGAAACTAACCTTGTTCTCAATTGAGAGAAATGTCATTTCATGGTCAAGGAAGGTATTGAATTGGGGCACAAAATTTCGGGAGAAAGCATACAAATTAATCGAGCTAAAGTTAAAGTTATCGCCAAGTTACCTCCTCCTATATTTGTTAAATGTGTTAGAAATTTCTTGGGTCATGCGGGTTTCTACAAAAGGTCCATAAAAGATTTCTCTAAGGTTGCTCATCCTCTTTGCAAGCTACTTGGAAAGGAAAGTGTCTTCGAGTTTGACAAAGCTTTGGTCAAGGCATTTTTGTGTTTGAAAGAGCAGCTCGTTTTGGCACCTATCATTTTTGTTCCAGATTGGAACATTCCATTTAAGCTAATGTGTGATGCGAGCGGTGTGGCTTTTGGGGCTGTACTTGGCCAACACAAGGGAAATTTATTTCACCCGGTCTACTATGCAAGCAAAACCTTGAATGTATCTCAAAAGAACTACACTGTCACTGAGCAAGAGTTGTTAGTCGGGGTGTACGCTTTTGAGAAGTTTAGAATTTAGAGCTTATCTTTTGGGGACCAAGGTGGTGTTACATACCGACCATGTTGCTATACGTTACTTGATGGCTAAGAAAGAGACAAAGCCAAGGTTGATCCGGTGTGTATTATTATTGCAAGAGTTTTACTTTCAAGTCAAAGATCAAAAGGGGTGTGAGAACCAAGCGGTGGACAACTTATCGAGGCTTGAAAAGGATGTGGTTGTTTTTACGGTGAAAAAGATATTGAGGAAGCCTTTCCCGATTATTAGGTGATGGTTGTGTTGAGTGGTACTCCGCTTTGACATGCTGATTTTGCAAATTTTGTAGTTAATGGGCTGAATTTTTACCAACAAAACAGATTCCTTTTAGATGTTAAGAAGCACTTTTTGGAGGAACCTTACCTATTTTGGAAGTGTGTGCATCACATGAATAGAAGATGGGTCCCGAAAATTGACGTACATGTTATTCTTGATGCTTTCCATGTGTCACCGGTTGGTGGGCACTATAGTGATATGTGTACAGCTGCTAAGGTACTACAAAGTGGTTATTATTGGCTAACGTTGTAACAAGATGCAAACTCTGTTGTTAAGAAATGTGTGCAATGTCAAAAGCAAGGAGGAGTGTCGCGAAGGAATGAATTACCTCTCAGTCCTATTCTAGAGGTTGAGTTGGTTGATGTATGGGGAACCGATTTCATAGGGCCTTTTGTGAGTTCTTATGGGAACAAATACATCTTTGTAGCCGTTGATTATGTCTCTAAATGGGTAGAGGCGGTGGCCTTACACAAAAATGAAGGGAAAAGTGTTGTTCAATTCATCAAGCGGTTCATTTTTATGAGATTTGGCACTTCACGTGTAATTATTAGTAATGGGGGCTCTCATTTCTGTAACTGAATATTCGCATCGTTGTTAAGCAAGTATGGAGTCTAGCATAAGGTTTCCACCCCTTATCATCCACAAACAAGTGGGCAAGTCGAGATGTCAAACAGGGCAATCAAAGGAATTTTGGTCAAGACCATTAATGCAAATCAAACTGATTGGTCCTGGAAGATTGATCACATTCTTTGGGCATATAGAACTGCATTCAATCCCCCGATTGGTATGTCCCCGTATCAATTGATGTTCGGTAAACCTTGTCATCTATTGGTTGAACTTGAGCATAAGGCATTGTGGGACGTCAAGGTCATGAACTTGAATTGGGAGGATGAGTAAAAGGATCGAGTTGACCAACTCCATGCTTTAGAAGAGTTTCAGCTTTAATCTTATGAGAGTTCAGCCCTTTATAAGGAGAAAATGAAGAAATGTCATGACGCCAAAATCCTTCATCAAGAGTTTAAAGTTGGTGATCTTGTGTTGCTCTACAACTCTCGTCTGAGACTTTTTCCGGGAAAAGTCAAGTCAAAATGGTCGGGTCCATTCAAAGTAAATCGTGTGTTTTCAAACGGGGCAATGGAAGTTGAGAATGAAGATGGGTCAATGTTCAAGGTGAATGGGCAAAGTTTTAAGCTTTACTTTGGAGAAAACCCTAATGTGACTAAGATTGATGTGGTGTATATGGATGACGCTTGAATGCACATTCACGTCTTGCAACGACGTAAACTAAGGAACTTCTAGAGAACTAACCCAAGCTTTACTTTTTGTTATTTGAATAACGTTGGTTGGATGCGCAGGTTGGAGTTCGTACTTTGGAAGAAAGGAAAATGGGTGAAGGGCTTGAACACTCAGTGAGTTCTCATGAAAATAATTATTGTTGTTAGTTTTATTTTCTATTATTATTAATTGTTGTTAGTTTTGTGGCTAGGAGTTGACTTGAGATATATTCCGAGCTTTGGTAAGTCCTCATGCTTCAAGGATGAAGTTTTATTGTATTCAGTTTCTTTCATGTATTTCTCTTTTTGACATGATGTATGGGCTAGGCCCAATTTCATTCGATTGAAATAGATGGCTATGATTATACAAAGTGTCTAGACTTCCGATTTTCTTTATAAAACCTTTTTGGACTTGAAATGTGTTTTACTCTTATTGTTCTATTTCCTATGTTATGAGGACTAAGTGGCTTGTATAGAGCATTTCTGGGATCTATACGTCATGTTACATCTAGGGGGTACACCTGGATCGTGACAAACTTGGAAATCAGAGCACAAGGTTTAGAATGGTCCTAGGATTCCTCATAAGCCACGTCTGATGGAGTCTTGTTCATGAGTGTCAACCACGCCACATTTATGAATGAGAGGCTACAAGATGATTAGGAAACTCCACTTCTTTCATTACTCTAAAGTCGTGCGATAGAGTATAACTCTATAAGGTCTCTCTCCTAAACCCTATCCTATGTTCTTTAAGATATGGCTACCTAAAGAGCTTATGCTACAAGGAATGCGAGGGAGAATACGGAACAAGAAGCTCCTCTTCAACCTCTTCATATTCCGATTGATCCTTTGACCAATAAAGTGACTAATGCGGAGTTTATGTTTTCTTTCCAAATGTTGACTCAAGCCGGAATAAAAACCCCAGAATTTTATGGGTCAAAGATTGAGGAAGATCCTCAAGAGTTCATAGATGAGGTCTATAATGTATTAAACTTAGTGGGGGTGACTTTGGTAGAGAGGGTTAAATTGGCCGCTTATCAACTTAAGTGAGTTGCTCAGATTTGGTTCAACCAATGGAAAGAAGCAAGGCTGGTAGAAGCGGATCTCATAGAGTGGGAAATGTTTAATAATGCTTTGCTTGATAGGTTTTACCATCTAGAGATGAGAGAGGCTATGGTACTTGAGTTTATTAACCTTAGGCAAGGTAACATGAGTGTTAAAGAATATGCTTGGATGTTCACTCAGTTGTCGAGATATGCTCCATCTATAGTGGCCGACCCTAGGTCGAGAATTAGTAAGTTTGTGTAGGGTGTATCTGACTTAGTAGTGAAAGAATGTTGTACGGCTATGCTTGCCCATGATATGGATATTTCTCGTCTTATGGTTTATGACCAACAGATTTAAAAGAAGAAACTTAAGGAAGAGTCTAGAGAGGTAAAGAGGGCTAAGACCGGTGATGGTAATTTCTCTAAGGCAAGGTCTGATGGATAACGTCGACCTAGAGTTTGAAAAAGGATTTCCGAATAAGGTTCTTCTAAGGCTCCTCCAAGGTTTAACAAAGAGAGGGTGTCTAACCCTAAGTTTCATGAAGGGAGTAATTGGTCTTTATGACCGGATTATGCTAAGTGTGGAAGAAAGCATGATGGTAAATGCCTAGCCCGCACGGATGCTTGTTATGGTTGTGGTAAAAGTGATCACAAGAAGAGGGATTTCCCGATACTTATGGCTAAAGGAAGAGAGGGCAAGCAAGCTCCTTCAAGTGGTTTGGGTACTAGTGCTCCCAAACAAGATAAATATTAGGCTCTTAAGACTCATGATGAACAAGAGGGTTCTCCTAATATGGTTTTTGGTAAGTAGAAAGTCATCCAACTTGTTGTATATGATTTATCAGATCCCAATTCTACATTGTCTTTTATTACGCCGTACGTGGCTATGAGGTTTGAATTTCTTCCGGATGTGTTGGTAGAACCTTTTTCTGTCTCTACTCCTGTTGGTGATTCTATTGTGGCAAAAAGGGTTTATAGAAAGTATCTCATTTTCCCTACCTATAGAGTTACTCTTGTTGATTAGGTATAGCTTGATATGTTAGGTGTTGATGTCATCCTTTGGATGGATAGGTTGCACTCTTGTTATGCTTCTATTGATTGTAGAACTCGTGTAGTCAAGTTTTAGTTTCCAAATGAGCCTACCCCGAGAGTGGAAGGGGGGAAAAACTATGCCAACAATTTGGTTATTTCTTGTCTTAAGGCTAAGAAGATGACTTTTAACGGTTGCATGTATCACCTAATAAGGATGAGGTAAATAGATTCTAGTGTTCACCAACTGCAAGGACCTAGTTACCTTTCTAAGATTGACCTTAGGTCGGGTTAGCACCAAATGAGGGTGAAAGATGTTGATATTTCGAAAATAGATTTTAGAACCCGATATGGTTATTATGAGTTTTAGTAATGTCATTTGGTTTGACTAATGTTCCGACAACGTATATGGATTAGATGAATAAGGTGTTTAAACAATACCGCTCAGTACTAGACCCTGCTGAGGGTATTGTTATGGTCTAAGATGGTTTCAGATTATCTTTTGTGTTAGGTGTGAAAGCTAAGCAATGTCTTGATCCGACCTTAGTAAAAATTGAAAGAAGCGGTACTTGGAAAATCTGTTGAGGCTTTCTCCCAAGGGGGAGACGGTGTACATAGATATGTTTAGAGCTTGCGTGATTGAGTTTAAGGGCTATTGGGATGACCATTTGCCATTGATTGAAATTGCTTATTATAATAACTATCACTCGAGTATTGGTATGGCTCCATTTGAGGCTCGTTATGGTAGGAGGTGTAGATCTCCTATAGGTGGGTTTGAGGTGGACGACGTTTCTTTAATTGGTCCCGAGTTAGTTAATGAGGCTATTGGAAAAGTTCAACCTATTAGAGAAAGGTTGAAAACAACTCAAAGACGACATAAGTCATACGCCAATGTTAAAAGAAGGGATCTTGAGTTTGATGTTCATGATTGGGTTTACTTGAAAATTTCACCTATGAAGGGTGTAATGAGGTTTTGTAAGGAAGGGAAGCTAAGTCCCCGTTTTGTAGGCCCTTATGAGATTTTGAGAGGTGCTGGTAAGGAGGCTTGTGAACTTGATTTGCCTAATGAGTTGGCATCGGTGCATCCGGTTTTCCATGTCTCTATGCTTAAGAAGTGTGTTGGAGATCTGGTTGAGATTCTAGACCAGCAAGTCAAGAAATTGAGAAACAAGGAACTAACTTCCGTGCAGGTTATGTGGAGGAATCATTTAGTTGATGGTGCTACTTGGGAGGCCTAGGACGATATGATGTCTTGATACCCTCATATCTTTCCTTCTACTACTCTAACTTGAGGTAATAAGTTCATCTTGGTTTATTCTCTGTTTTGGAGTGATGCGTGTTTGTGTGTTTCCATGATTTCCTTATGATTATCCATATTCATGAGAAGCTTGGGGTTTGAAAGCAATTGAGTTTATATGATTAATTTTTCTCATGTTGTTGTGCATTCAGTATGAGTTGTCTATAGACTTCATGAGTTGAATTGTTTAACATGCTTTAGCTATGTTGTTGAATATGAATTGCATAAAGGCTCCATGATATTGTGTTGGGCATGCTTTTAGTTTGGAGAAGGTAATTATTCCTTGAACATGAGAAGTTTTGGAGATTTCATGCATAATGGGTTGTTAGATGTAGTTCCTACTTCCTTGTGATGTGTTGAGTATATTGAGCTTTGAGTTGATGTTTCCTCCTTAGTTGTGTGCATTTTCATGAGTTACGTGCATGATGGGCAGCTAGTATTGAGTCTTTACATCTGTAAGGTTTCTAGAAACGTCATTCGAGGAAGAATGTTCTCAAGGGGGAGATAATGTAACACCCCGGAGTTTAGTACACTAAACTAGGGCTAAGTATGTAAGGGCAAGAGCCAAGGAAGAAGGCAAGAGACAAGAAGGGGGTTTGGGCAGCATAGTTTTTTCCAAGCACTGCCCACCTTACCACGCCCCCATGACGGTTTGTGGTAGGTACCACGAGTCGTGGAAGATGTCATGGTGGTGCGGCAGTAGCCATGTCAAGCTGCCCTAAACGTTGACCCTCCCCGTTAGCCACTTGACGGCTCGTGAAGGCCACCACGGCCGTGGGAGGGGTCGTGGTCTTTTCTTGGCCATGTGGGGGCAAGGTGTGGAAACCCTAGCTATTGGTCCAAGGACCACGAGGAGGACCAGGGCTCGTGGGACCTCACGTGGTGATGAGGCAGACCAATGTAGCCTAGGGGTTAATTTGTCTTTTCCGGTTTTAATCAAACTAAAGCTATGTCGTTTTACCTAAGTGTAGGGCACCTATATAAGTCATTTTAATTCTAAAGCTCCCATATTCAAGCCATTATTTCCGAAACCAAAAAAAGATCCCCAAAGTTTTTCCTCTCAAATAACTCTCTCTCTAGAAACATGAAGAAGAAGAAGGAGATTCAAGCTAGGGTTCCAGAGCAAGCTTACATACTTCAATTTCTTTGGGTTTTGATAGTAAGGTATGATAGTTTTCATCCATGGAGTTCCCAAATCTCTTAATTTCAAATGGTAAAATTTCCCAATTCAGTTAGGGTTTTCATCAATTGTCATGATTTCCTTTCATAGTTGATTTAATTGATTGAATTATTATCTTCTATGCATGATGATAAATTGCAATGCTTTTATGATGAATTTCCCCATGAACCCATGTAATCCCCATGTTTTCATGTTATGAACAATGTGTTATGGGATTTTGATATTCAAGGAAGAGTTTTATGAAATTGAGCATGTATTACTAGTTTTACATGAATTTATAATGAAATCCATATCTAACCCATATTTTATAAGAGTTTACAATTGAAAGTGGGTTTTGACCTCAAGCAGGTAAATTCTGGAATTATGCATTTTCTATGAAATCTATGCAAATGTTTTAAGGAAGCTTTTAGAGTAAAGTATCAATGATGATGTTGTTGTTGTGTTGTTGAAAGGATATTCTCATAAAACACATACTAGTATGATTGTGAAAGGACATTCTCACACAGTAAGGATTCTTAGGTTATAAGGCATTCTTACCAAATTGAATCTAAGATTAAAAGTGATCATGGATGGTGAAAGGTTTTCTCATG